CATTATGCGCTAAAAGCAGCCTTTTTAAGGGAAAAAAAAAACAATAAAAGACGAGGGAAAAAAAGCCCTCTGCAGCAGAGCCATCCGCAAGGCCCCCATGGCTCCAAACTTTCCCGCCTGGCTCCATCCACGGAGCGCAACGGAGCGAGCGCCAGGTGCTGTCCTGCTTCCCTCTGCCCTGGCATTCCCAATCCCACTGGGATTTGCACCCTGGATGGAGCAGGATGCAGCCGGGGGTGGGCGCCAGCCGGCTCGGCGGGAGCCTCCGGCTTTCCCGGGGCCGCGCGCCCGTTCTAAATGCCATTTTTTTTGTAATGTCAAACAGGGGAGCGACACTTCCAGCAACACGTTCTCCTTGAGACGTTTTCTAACGGTAAATATTCCCGTTCTCGTACCTCTCCGGATGGCTCCTAACCCGCAGGCTCCCGCGCCGCGGCGGGCCGAGCGCCCCACTAACCGCATGCCTCGCTCCACGCGCTGCCGCCCCCTCCCGCGCTGTGGGTCGGAGCAGGGATGCTCGCACGGCGCCGCTCCGGCCGCTCCGGCATCCGCTTCCCTTCCCCTGGACGCGGTGCCCAACTCCTGCCGGAGGACCATTGTCCTCACAAGCAAGGGCGAGTGTCTGCAGCAGAGCGGACGCCGGTCCGTGCCGAGGTGCCATCCGGGGGGTAGCTCGCTCCGGTTCATCCCCCGGCCAGCGGGAATGGGGGGATTTCCCAGGATACAGCCCCTTTGCCCCCATTCTGGGGGCTGCAGGTGCCGCGTTGCAAGCAGGGAAGCTCTCGGGTCACACCAGGGTTGTGCGCCCTCATAGCACCAGCGGGATGAGCCGGGAGCGCTCCGCACCACGGGACCCCCTGGCCCCAGCGGCTCCGGGAGCGCTGCCAGCGGCCCTGCTCATCCTCAGGGATGGGCGGGCGGCTTTGCTGGGAGAGGCAGGATTTAGGCCGGTTGCTCCGGGGGAGCTGGGGTGGGAGCCGTGGCAGCTCAGGCTCCCGACTGCGCACGGAGCGCCGGGGCCGCCGCACCCCGCAAATCCGCTTGCAAACCGCGGCGCTTTGCACCGGAGATGCCGTTTGCTGCACTGGGGCACCCCTGGTGCAGCCTGCGGGACGCGGCTGCACTTTAAACCAAAATCCACGGAGGCGCTTGGCATGGCTGGGCCCGCGCGCCCGGCTCCGTGCGCGTCCCCGTCACGGCTGCCCCTAGGCGCGACACTTTGCAACGGGGCCAGCGCTGAGATCGCGGGGAAAGAAACTAAAACCCGGGCCCCTTTGTTCTCCCTTGACGGGACATCGTAAAAATAGCAGCCGCGAGCCGAGCACAGGACGATCCCGGCTCCGGCGGCGCGTGCTTGGAGGCTGCAGTCACTGGTGCCCCACGCGGCTCCCGCGAAGAGCGCGAGAACCTGGGATTTGCTCTTTCCAAGGAATTTTCTTCCAGGCATTTCCCCGGCGGGCTCCTTGAAGCGCCGGCCTTGCTCCGCCAAGCGAGCGGCGCCGCTTTATGGCCCTTTGTGAACAAGTCGCGGCTCCCCGGGCCATTGATCTGCGCGCGGGGCCAGCGCCGCGCAGGGATCTCCCAGGGCAGCCGTCAAGCCCAAAATGCCTCATTTAATGGAGCGGCCCTTCCCGGCCTGCCAGCCACAGCTGACTTTGATAATGCTCAAATAATTTTTTTTTTTTTTTTTTCCCCTTAATTGGCTTTTTTTCTTTTTCCACTGGCGCTGCCTCCATGTGTGCGCGTGTCCGCGTGTTGCAAAGCGCCTCCCAAATAACCGGCCCTCCTCCGAGCGGGTCCCGCGGGTGGGTGACGCGGGGTGGCAGCGCGAGGTGACAAGGGCCGGATCCGCTCCCGCTCCCAAACGGAGCTCGGGAACCTGCTTCCCCTGCATGAGCCTCTCCCCAGCCTTGGGTTTAGGTCCCCAAATCCCAAAGCATTTTTTGGTCCCTTTTTTTTTATTTTCCGTGGTGTTTCTCCCTGCACATTTGGGAATGCCACTTTCTTTCCCAGCGTGCTGCCTGCAATTCCCTCCTGACGGCTGGGGGGGGCCGCATCCCAAATCCTCCCCTGGGAGCTTCTCATCCCAGCGTGTATTTTTAGGAAGGGGTGGAAGAGCCGGGGCTCTTCCCGCTGCCCTTCCAGCCTGCCCGGCTTCCACTGGGGACGTTGGCAGGGCAGGAAGGAGAGGCTGGTTTCAAGCAGGAGGGCTGCAAGCCGGGCCAGGATGGCAACATGGGCATTTTCCCAAGCAGTTTTTCCCTCCCAGTCCTGCAAACCCGGAGGAATCGGGTGCTCTCATGGTCCAGCCGAGGGCTGCTCCGGGAG